TGCAAAGACTTTGGAGCCTTGGTTCCGCTCGATCGCTTCTTCAATACAAGCTGTATTGAAGTTGCGTAAGTCCCGCGGCATGCAATTGCAGATCTGTCTGTTCATTTGCCTGTATGCTGTCAAATCTGTTGAAGAATGTAGCTTCAGTGTGATCGGAGAGTTTTTGTGTTCTTCTACGGCAGGTCTTGCAGAACTTAGCTCCGACCGCATGGACAGTTTCCACGAGCTTGTCATTCATATCGTCCACTTCATTGCAGTCTTCTAGGCACTGAAAACGGTTTTGTAACTCGAGCTGAAAGGTTTCGGGACTTTGGAACAGAGCACGAGGGGACGGAGCGTTGACTTCATTAGACGAGACCTCTCTAACTTAACGTTTAGGTTCAGTGTGCCTCTAACTATTCGGTGATTGCTACCAGTTTTCACCCTCGCGATCACGGAGACATCACTGAACAGTTGTCGTCTGGTCGTCATAATGAAGTCAATCTCATTGTTTGTCGAACCGTCGGGGCTCGACCAGGTCCACTTGCTGTGGGACCGCTTCTGGAAGAAAAAGTTCATCATAAAGAGTCCCTCTTTTCCATGAATTTCGCCAGCTGCTGGCCCCTTGGGTTCCGTTGCCCTATTCCAAATTTCCCTTCAGCTCACCGTTCTCTCTTGTGCCTAGTTTTGCATTGAAGTCTCCCATTAACACCGTATATGGTTTTGGAGGAATGCATGGCTCTAGAGATAATATCCTCATATATTTCCTCCACCTCCTCATCGGGGTGTGGCGAGGTTGGTGCGTAAACCTGTATGACTTTCAGCGAATACCGTTTGGTGATTCTGAGTATAAGGTACACAACCCTCGTCGACACACTCTCAATCTTTACAACGTTGTTAACCGAAGACTTGTGGACGATAAATCCGACACCGCCTTGGGACAGATGGTCGCCCTCCCGGTGATAGAGCAAGTTACCGGATTCGAGGATTACCGTGTCCTCCCCTCACTTCGGACCTCGGATAATCCTATAATATGCCAGTAACTTGTCTCTCCTTCCAGCTTCACTATCTTCTCGTCAGTCCTCAGGGTGCGTGTGTTGTATGTTGCCAGGTCGAGTCGTCTTAGGTGGCAACCGAACCTCCACCGGAGATTGTTAGCACCCCCTGCCCCGCCGTTACCATGGTCGCCACCGTAGCCAGGAATAGCGGGGCCGCCGGGGACTGGGGGCCGTTTATTATGGTCATTGCTCATGTCATGCTCATATACCCCATATTGCCATATTTGCCACGCTTGGCGAGCGTGTTGGCAACCGCAGTTTTTTTATTCTAATTTTGCTGTTATCAGGAAGATGCTGCTGCCCATCTCCTGCCTGTTTCCCTTTTTCGCCTTTTACGACACCCACGGGAAGATATGGGGTATTGGATATTCTCTTAGTTTAGTTAGCTTAGTTAGCTTAGCTTTAGTTTGATCAATTTTACGAAAACAGTGCTGTGCAGATTTATACACTAAAATGGTACTATAAGCTTATTCTTTTTCCATGTGTAAGTGGGTTAAATACCTTGTTATTTGATGTGGTTGTGGAAGATTGCTAGACACATTATTTGAATCATACCATTTAATCCATTAGTTTATAGCTGGATAGTAAGTACAAAGTACCTAATGTTGATTGCCTCCAGCTAGAATTTAATAGATTCTGAATTGATGCATATACTGAGCTGAAGATTAGATAAAATTTCGTCCAGTCTCCTGACGTCATCATCTCGTTTAACTCGTGTCTGCCGCATCGGTTGTAAAGAAGTGGATGTATAGTCGCTGATGTAGAACTGCCTTGTTCACTAATGAGTGACTCTACCACTTGAAGTCCCTTTGTACTTGTAGTGGCAGAACTTGTTTGCTTTTCAAATTTCGCCTGCAGCGTTTCAGAAGTATCTGAATGTAGTGGCAATGCAGGCGACCCCTTCTTGTGACAAAACTGGCGAAGTTTAGTTGTCTTAGAATTTTTTGCACCTGTTTTAGTTTGCATGACTTTCTTGCTAATAATTGTGTTTTTATATTTTTTATTTTTCTCTCTGATATGTACATTTTGTCTGTCTTGGTGTTCCAAATTATTCCTAGATCTTCTAATTTTTGTATTGGCTTCAGCATAGACTGAGTAATTTAACCCATAGACTCCAAGAGGCTCACGACTTCCGCAGTCTGAGAGACCAGCTTGGCTTGGTCCTAGTCAACCAATAAGAAATCGTCTAGATATAGCCATGCTGCAGCTATAGTAATATAGTTGTAGCACGGATGGGTCGGCTCGACCGGAGAAGGACCACGCTCTCACCGAATACCAGCGTTAAATAGCAGCTTAACACTGCTGTGGTTCGTATGGAGAGTGTTGAGAACCGGAGACCCGTTTTACTGGAAAAGAGGCATTCCATCTTAGTCCTCACGGGTGACAACGCATCTGTATTTTAATTCGAAAACGAGGATAGTTGTAGATATCTATGGGCCACAGCAACCACTTACCATCAGGTGGACTGTGTACTCGTTTGTCACCATACTCCTATATAAAAAAAATCCGTAGGTACAATCAGTCCAAACGGCATGTCTCTCTCGAGTGCTTAGTTCGGTCGTTCAGGGACAGCGTGACAACAATAAATGACTAAACCCTATTCTGTAAGTTTCTTGCAGCCAGAATATGCTCTTAACCACTATTTTTGGTGTTAAATTATCTATTTTGTAATGAATAATGAACACCAGATTAGTTATCCGATACCTTTTGAAGGTTCAATACCACAATAAATAAAACAACAACATTTTTATATTTACTTTTTATTAAACTTTTGGGTTTTGGCACAATTTTTGAATAATGTGTCCTGGTTTATACCTACTAGGTAATAAAACCTAAATTTTACCTACTTATATATGCTCGTAGAGCCATACGGGAAATTTAACAAAATAATCTCAACTCAATCGTTAAAAATAGTTACGTTTAAAAACCAATAAACCAACAAGATATAACTTTAAGTACATACAAAAAAAAGAATATATTGTATACTTTTTACTCTTTAATCAAGTAGGCATTGTGTATACAAAACGTAAATATATGGCAAGGTGTAAGGTACTATTTTACATATATAAAAATGTGCCGTTACAACGGCTAAATAAATAATAAGTATGATGTCGACCGAGATCTATGCAATACGCATACGGATTAAGTATCGATCATTTATATAACCACAATCACTAAAGTTTACATCAAAATATCGCATATTTACAATTGGGTTCAACATAAAAATAAATAATTTAACGCCACTGTTTTAAACCTTACATATTAACTATGTAATACTACGCACTACGTAATCGATAAGACATTAAATTCACGTACACAATAATTTATTTACGCTTACTATACTAAACTATTTTCACGTCTGATATATATTACTGGCATACAATAACAAGGTGCAACACACCAGAGTTTATGTTTAAATCGAAAAGGAATCAAAAAGTAACGGACACTGCGTTCAAAAAACGTATCTAGTTATTTTTTAAGATAATTATTGATGGAAAAAATGATTACGGCACCAACATCGGATTTACAATAAAAAGTAAAGAATATTCACATAAACAAATTGGTGTGTATTCGCCATTACAAAAACAAAAATGTATTAAAACAATAAATAACAAAACTAAATGGCTATCAACGACATCACCGATCAAACACGTTCCGTTTCACAAAGAAATATCTGTACAACTTTGTTTTCTATCACTCATCTACCTATTATGTACTACATATTTATTATGATTGTTTCAACTACAGCTTAGCGACTATTTCTACTAATTTAAATTGCACGATTCGATAAAGCGAATATTTGATTTCTTTTGATTAAGTATTATACCCACAGAGTTCGGTGAGCTATCTACGCATTGATTAAAACATAGCAGATATGTTTTTGAGTTGAAAACGAATTGACGATCGCAAAATTGACCACCAATAACCAACAACAGTTTTTACTACGGTCTAGCGTTGAATATTTCTTAACAATGCTTGCATTCAGAATAATTCACAGTTTTAATACAAAATTCGCATATATCTACGCTATTTGTTAAATTTGTTTCCATTACAGACCCCTGCTTAGTCTATGAGTATTCCATTTACTATTATAATCATCATCATAAACTTCTCACTGGATTCAATAAATCAGTTTGTGTTCTAAACACTTAAATTTTCAAGCATTCCGCTTCAATTTTTTGGTTTTATACATTTTAGTACCTTAAGTCTTAGAGTTTCTAAGTATTATATAGGTAGATTAGGGTTTAGCTAAAATTTATACATGGCCACACGATAGTAAATATTTCAAGTAGATACTACCACTTAAACATAATCCGTTATAATCTAGACATAATTTGAATGTAACTCTAAATAAGACATTTTATCCAAATATTGAAATTAACGTTCATGTTATATCTACAAGGGAATCGTGCTTATTTACATTATTTGTCTGCTTAGTAATACAAATCTATTTTACATGTTTTAATATAACCATTAGGAGTATATACATTTTTCTAATTTACTAACAGTTGGTTTAGTACCTAGAATAATTAGCAGCTGCACGTTTCGCTCTAAAGCGAGTGCATCAATTTTACAGAATAGCAGTGGAGTTTGAAAATATTAGAGAATAAAACAAGAGTTTCTAGGATTTTCTTAAACCACTAATGGAATAATCTCATATTAATAATTAGGTATTTGTAAAAAGAGAGATCTGATTGCAGCACTGGCATTTAAAGACAACCTATATTTGTGAAAAAATACCTAATTAAGGTACTTAAGTTGATATTTCTAGCACAGATAAAATATTATTTATCTTCAATATACATAAAAAAGGAAAACTAGAACGAAATCAGTATGAGATTTAACTCTTCAAGAGATTCAAGTCTTCGATCGTTCTCAAGTCTTACCGCGTTACCAGGGATGGTGGGAGGGAGGCAATGAAAGGGGCGCGGCGTGCGGATATGGCCAGCCGCGCGCCGTGCCTCAATCTTCCTCTCTGGGCGATAATGGGGGTGAAAATGCTGGATTCATGTAGTTCCCTCCATTTGGAGGCGGAGAAGTGTTAGAGGGACCTGGGGATGGGAGAGTGGGAAGGAAACCTAGTTCGCTGCCGCCGTCTCGACACCACAATTGTCGCATTTCTTGCCTGCGAGTTCGCATGAGATTCTTGTATTCAGATATTCGCATCTTTTTACCATCTACTATGCAAGTTCTTTTCGGCCTTGGGCGGTACCTGAAGAACACAATTAAAAAAATTAAGAATTAAAGTTTAAAGCTATTACATAAATAAAAAAGAAAAAAATTTTATATGGTGCCATGACTTCAGTATAAATTTAAATTGAATAGTTTTGTAATTTTGTTAACATGAATCTTTTCTTATCGCAAGATAAAAAAACTAACAGATTTTTTATTTATATAAATGTTTAATTCTAAACGTTTTGTTCACTATATTACATTATAAATTATAAAAAAGCTTACCTGTAATCTGGGTGCTTCTCCATATGTAACTTGGATAGTCTCGATTGTTCCTCATAATATGGCTGTTTCTCGGCGTTTGACATAGCTTTCCACCTGGCTCCTAGAATCTTGGATATATTGGAGTTGTGCATGTCTGGACACGCTTTCAGGATCTTTCGCCGTTCGTCTTTCGCCCAAACCATGAAAGCGTTCATTGGTCTCTTGATGTGAGGTTTGCCCGACTCGTCTCGTTTCGGTTGGCGTATCAGTTTAGCTTTTTCTGCTTCTTCCGGAGGAGACTGGCCCCAAGAAGACGCTGCAATATCATAAGGGAAAATTAAATTTCAGTTGTGAACTAAAATAACGTGATCGGAAAACAAAATGGTCGTTGCTATGTGGTATAGGTATAAAATAATTCATAACATTATATAATATGAACGTCATAAGCGTGCGATTAAGGCATCTTTCATAAAATACATTGTAGAAGGACCGTACCAGACCGATTACTGGCAGGTAACATCAAAAGAATGACGGTTCTGGTTATCCTCATCAATGAGTTTACCGAACGTGGCTGTTACTAACGTAACTGTAAATTCTTCAAGTGGAGGATTCAGGGCATGCATAGGGTAGAGCGGATAAAACATAATATGCATAATGCAGCATTTCTAATTGTTTTTAAGTCGTAAGATTAAAAAATTACTACACTTTAAAAAATACATTTGATGTGCATTCTACGTCCTAATTAAGTATTTCTGCCGCCAAATAATTAATTAGGGCAGTAGTGCTTGCAATGCAGCAATAGTCTGTGGGGAATAGAGAGCCAGTATAATTATATGCCGTGAGTCATTCCATCTTAGTCCTGAGGTGACAACACATCTGTAGCTTTCATTGTTTGAAATTGGCTGTAGGTGTCTCCATGGTCCATATTGCCAAGTCAATTTATTTATTTAAAACATAAAAGATTTTTAATATTGATATGATCACTTTAAGATGTTGTTAAGTTAGCTAATTACGTAATAACTTAAGACAGAAGGACCCTTAACTAGGGACTGAATAAATTAACCGACTTGATATTACATGATCTCACAAGTTTTTACGGTAGAAGAACTGTGTTGCGAGACTTGGTTTTTTTTTTACAAGTTATGTTTTTGATGGCATCTCATTTCTTTTTGTAGATAGTTATATCTACGTACCTATCTACACCTATTATTCTATTATATTATACATATATAGGTACACTGATTCATTCATTGCAAATGTAACTTTGTAATCCTATATATTTATATGGGATTACAAAGTTATTTATTCAGTTGGTGTATCTCGAAAACTGGACCGAAATTGCAAAATATTTTAATTTGTCCTTGATTTATATACTAAACAATAATTGTATTCCAAATTTGAAGTTTCTATGTCTGCTAGAACTGTCTTAGAGTTTTGATGATCGGTCAGTCAGTGAGTGACAAAATTAAGAAACTTTGACTAGTTCTAATTCTTAAACTACTCGTTCAAATTAATTGAAATTTGAAATATTCCGAGTTTATACAATGTCTACTTGGTTACTGAAAATTCAGGCTTCTAGTCTTATCCACAACAAAGTTATAGGGTTTCTAAAATGGCCTGAACTGCTTCGAGAAAAGGATGGTACGGCCGTGCCGCTTTTTTGCTCGACTTGGCGGGGGCAATGCCGTGCCCCTAGATAAAAATTTCGATTAAATATAAACGTAAATAATATAATATCTAAATTACGAAGATGCACTGTCGATGTTTTTTTTCCGTGGACGCTATATTATAGTTACGCATTTTCCGCTAGACGCTATTAGATATTCGACGTGTATTATCGAGATAATAGATAATTTTACTGTTCAATATTATGATACCTAATAATTTAAGCACTTAAAAATACTAATTAATTATTTCTAAAAATGAGACATAACAACAACCGTAAAAAAATTAAAATTAATGCAATCGTACGTAAATTTTATCTCTAAAATATCTAAATGTTACTGCAATAAATGAGAGTACAATGTCACCATTAAATTTGTCCCCAATTAAGTGAGCCTTTTAAATTGTAAAATTTCGTCTCTTAAAATGGAGATAAGAAGTTTTTAACATTTATAACATTTTAATGTATCGTCTCGCTTGAGTTGAGGAGCTGATCGGAAGCCGAGCTTAGCTGAGTAATAAATAATCGCTGACAGTGACTGGAGGCCGTAAAACAATCGTTAAACGCAGATTAGAAGTTCATGCTACTTCGTTATAACATTCAAAGGCAAAAATGTATTAATTGACTGTGGATTTCTAAGTGCTGTTGTGATTTTCTTTAGGCGAATGGTCCCCGTGTTTAATTTTCATTCTCATCTGAGTAAATTTTTAAAATGTTTCGAGTTACCGTGTTATTTTATAGCTCTATAGGTATATGCAAATTAGTTAAAAATACATATATTTATTTTTATTTTATGTATTTAACTAAAAGAAATATATAAAAAAGTTTAGATAAGGGCGACAGTTTAATCTATTTGTCTGTTAAAAATGACGATAAAAGGATATTAGCACCCGGGAGTTTTATTCGGAGTTTCATCTTCGGTCAGACAGGAAACCCATTTTGAAACGGTAGTTTATTGACAATGAAGCATGATATGAAAAATGAAAATTTTCGCACCGATCTAAAGAAGTAACTTAAGTTTAATGAAATACATAGTTAAAAGAGCACAATTAATCCGCTTATAGTGATGTTCCGATATTAAAATACTTCAAAGACATTTGTGTAATTTTTTTTGGACAAATTTGCTCCTTATAACTACAGAAAAACACTGCAGCATTAAGGTACGCTTATTAGAAATGTATATTCAGTTCATCTGAACACTACCGATTAACATTATCCATATTTTACAATAGAACATTACAGTTATATAATTATTGTAGAAATACGACCAGTTCTAATACATCTACTAATAGTTTAGTTAGCGCAGATGCTGTTAGAGCAATAGAAGATGACATTTATTACAAGGCGCAAATTCCGAATCCGCCATTAGGTAATTTTAGTGCACTGTCGAACGCACCCCCGCGCGCATTCTGTCCAGTGAAATATGTGGGTCAGTCAAAAAGAGATCCGCTTAACATTTCGCCTGACGGATTCGCAACCAAGTGTCCGACAATTAATAAACTTGCCCGCACGGAAACATCCTCCTCTCGAACTCGGCGCATTCCTCGAATTAATTTGACACACTGTTAGATAATTTATAACATCCTACGTTGATTTGCGCGTGATACACTGTTCAGTCCGAACGCACTTTGTACTGTCGCAGTGAAATTTTAATTGTTGCCCGCTTTTCGAAGTCGGAATTTAAATAGTCTTAATTTTTTATTTAACCTTGGCGTGAATAATAGATTTAATTAATTTATAAATATAGCATAATTTTTCTTATTTCGTTGTTTATTTATTTGACAGCTTCAGCCTAGTTGCAAATTTATCATTAATAATGGCAACCATTTTAGAAAAGTTAAGTACTGTGACATTAGGAGGGTTAAAGCCTCGATATTTTACTCTTCTCTCCCATCTCCCATCTCTACCAAAAGTTCACTGTATATGGGCATCCTTCGTTAAGAAGAATTTGCCTTAATCGTCACACTTGGCAGGTGAGATCGCAATACCAGACGTCTTGCGCTGCTGCGCTGGTCAAGGTATTTTATGTCTGGCGTAAACGATGCTTATATCGCTATCTTTCGCAATTCATAAGATTTTTCTGGCATTTCTCATAACTGCCTTTTACGACACCTACGGGACGAACTGAGGAATGTTAAAATTTCACAATACGCGAACAACTCAGTTTCGATCTCGGCACCAATGAAATTGTTAATCGCAATTTTAAGTTCTGATTTACCACGTACTCGTCGGTGAAGTGAAACATCGAGAGGAAACCTGCATGACTGAGAAATAAAAAAAAATTGAAGACATGTTGTGAAGTTAGCCAACACGCATTGGGACAGCGCGACGGACACTCCCTTGTCCTAAAAACCTTTTAAAAGTGAGAGGAGGCCTGTGCCCAGCAGTGGGACGTATATAGGCTGTAACTTTAATAATTAGGATGTCTATTTAAAGCACTTTCATATATTAAAAACTAATTTGAATTAAGTAGATACAAATAGTTCTAAAATTTAAATTAATTTAATACTATTTAGAATTTTGCTTTTGCTTGTACACCCGAGTAGGATAAGCGAAGAGAGCGGAAACGTGCGTCGTGAGCGCCATCTATTTCTCGTATCATGCAATTCTCTTGTTTTAAAGGAAGCGTAACGACATCAACTATTTTGTAACCATTTCGGTTTGGGTTTGCGCCAACTATTTAAAGTAGCGTCCATTTATTTGTTTTACTGTTCTGTTATATTAAATTTAACGATTTTTATTACAAAAAATCTTTTTGTCACGTCCGCGTCCACATCATAATACATATAAATTCTTAATTATTGAGACAATTTTCATAAAAGACGTCAACTTCCTGTGGTCGCCTTTGATTCAATAAATCAGTGGGTTTTAAAATTAATATTTCTGTCTTGTCGGAGGCATTTTTAATCATTTCTCGCACAACGTTTAGTTACAAAGAAAGAGGTCGTAAATTTTCTGGCAAGGTAAACATAATACATACAATGAAATAAGTGTAAATCCAACATGGTCAAGTTTTGTTTAAGCATTTCTAATTATTACAATTCTATTTTTAACAAAATTCGTCAAATCTTAAAAAATCTTAAAATATGGATACGCTTTTCGTCATATAAATAGATAATGAAATACGTGGTCACGAATACGTGGCCGATGAGATAACCAAAATGTTTTAACCTATGTATGTATAATATAGAGTCCGCTCCTATGATCTAGTTGGAATTAGCGGACTTCATCATACTCTTGATATGTAATTCATTCAATAATCATCAGTTGTGCAGTACCTACCTAAAGGCGCAAAGTATGTAATTTAAAAGTTTTACCGACAACTGAAGACTCACGGTTTTAAGTGTCAAATGAAACAGAACTATTATCAAAGGACGTTTTTTTATAAAACTGAAGTGACAAAGAAACTACTAACGACCGACTACAGTCCACCTGATGGCAAGTGGCCACCACAGTTCATTGACAAATGCAACCAACTTCAAATCAAAAAGGCTACAGATGAAATGTCGTCTCTGAGGACTAAGGTAGAATACCTAAGGGCGGATTCGACCAAACTTAGTATAAGTCTTATCCTGAGAATAAAGCCACTAATTACTCTCGAGTTAGAGAACTTTCGTTTTACCAAATCTTAACCCAGGTATAATTGTCTGTCA